CTTTGAAATGAAGTGACGTAGGGGAAGGAATGGCAGAACCTGGGGGGCGGAGTGAAAAGAGGAACTAGTCTAGAATTCCTTCGTAGCCATAAGTGAACTAAATCCAACTCTTCCCTTGAATTCCCTGGAACCTCCTCTAACTCCTAACAGGTGCTGGGAAGATTCCTGTGCAGCAATAAATCTGTTTAATTGGACTGTTGCCTGTGAGGACCTGATCCTTCATACCTGACAGGTGGCCTTCTCTCTCTCCCTTCTTCTACCGAGTCACTTAGACCTTCACTTTGTTCTCATTTTTCCAGGCTGTGTCCCCCCCCACCTCTGCCCCCTCCAACAGCGCTTTCCGATGGGAGAGGAGATATTGGGCGCCAGGAACACACATTTCCCACTCAGAGGTCAGGATCCTCTCTTTGCTTCTGTTGGCAACAGAGGAGGGCCCTCACCTTCAAGTCCTTTACCTTAGGATCTCTCCAAGGATCGCAGATCTGTTTTGTTTTTCTGCTTTTATTTTTATTTTTTTTAAAAAGGCCGGCTCCTGAAACCAGATTGTTTTCTTTTCTTGGCTATTTAAACGAGGCTCGGAAAGAATGCCACTTTAATTTTTGAAAGGGAACGCTATTTTTAGAGAGCCAAATTAACTTTTTTGCATTCCTGATGGCTGACTCCATGGAACAGAGATGGGGAAAGGGATCAGAAGAACGAGGGAACTTCTGGTTCCCGACTTTGGGAGCCGATGTTTATGGGTTGTCGGAATGTGGCTTCCATTCCAGGGCTTACCGAAGGATTTGGAGAAACTCATTTGCTGGGCAGCCCAGGTTGCTGGCTTGTCCAAAACTTTCTGACGAAGAGAAGTTGGATGGTTTGGGCATTTTGGGTGGGTGGGTGGGTGGGGGCTTGCTTGCTCGGCCCTAGTAGCACGGCCTTCATTAATGGGGTGGTAAATTTCACAGAAATGCAGGAATGCTACAGCTGAACACGGCAGATATGCAAAAGGCGGAATCCCTCACTGCGGGTGAGTTGCTTCTCCCAGTTTCAAATCTGGGGTAGAACTGGGCCAAGGGAGCAAGTTGAGAAGCACCAGAGAGGCAGTTTGGACTTCCAGAAACAAGTTCTGCCTCTTCCTCCTGCCTCCGAGAAGTTCTCCTCGGACACTCCGACAAAGTTTTCCTTCACAAACCGACAAAGCAATCACTCCAAAGCAGCATTTGTCAACCGGGCCCCTTGAAGAGGTGTGGACTTCCAACTCCCAGAATTCCCCAGCCAGCATTAAGGGGAATTGTGGGAGTTGAAGTCCACACCTCTTCAAGGGGCCCAGATTGGGAAACGTTGCTCTAAAGCAAGGGTCGCCAAACTTTTGGACCTCAGGGACCACCAAACTCACAATTTTAAATCCCGCGGACCACTAATATGAATTTGGACTGACAGTGGCTTGCTGATGTTTTCCCAGGGTCTCTGCAGAAAGCAACAGAGACCCTGGGAAGACCCCCAAAAAAGTCTGCAGGAAAATCCCCCGTCCTGTTTTCCTACCGATCGATCATTCTTTATTTGGGATCACAGGATACCGTCTCCAGCTCCGTTCTCAGGGGGAGAGAGAGAGAGAGAGAGACTTTTGGCTTCATGCAAGGAAAGCAGCAGGAGCAGCAGAAGTCTTTCTTTCTCTCCCCCAAACTCTGCCAGAAATGAGTCTTGGTGAGACTTATCGTGCTGGCGCAGCTTCTTGGGGCAGGAGGCCTTGCAGGGTCCCAAAGACTCATTTCTGGCAGAGTTTGGGGGAGAGAAAGAAAGACTTCTGCTGCTTTCCTTGCGTGCAGCCAAAAGCAGAAGAAGAAAGAAGCGGAAAGGAGCAGCCCGGTGGCCAAGCGAGGCCCGTGGGGCGTGTGGGGTAAGTTCCCCCCTCTGCCCTTTCCCCCTTCTCCTCACTACCTCGTGTTGTTCGCAATGCAAGCGACACAAGCCTTGTGTTCCCGTGGGCCATGTGGGCAGCGCAGCCTTGTGTGTCCCACGCAGCCGTGATGAATTGCTTTGAGGGGGACATTTCTCTGAGGACCACCAAAATTTTCTCGCAGACCACCAGTGGCCCCCAGTTCACAGGTTGGCGGCCACTGCTCTAAAGAACCTAACGTGCCAAGAGAAATCCTAACACAAAAGGAAACACACAAATCGCGAAGCTGACCCAGACACCGGAACTCATCCTGGCAGGAGGTTCTTTGCTGTCCTTTTGCTCAGGGTTGGCCTGTTTCTCCTCCTGCTCCATCTCAGCTTCTTTGCCTCCCTCCAGACAGATTATAAAAGCCACTGCAAATATTTAGAGATGTAATCTCCTCTTTGTCCCCGGCTGCCCTTCCGTTGAAGCACCATCCACGGAGAGCTGAGAGGTAGCTCAGGGACACAAGTGGTATTTTTGCAGCTGGGCTGGCCACCGGAGCCCCCACGCGAGGTGTGTGTGACAAAGCATGTCCCGCGACGTCAGGACACAAACCCACCGCCTGCGCCCGACGCTGGGACAGGAGCGTGGAAGGGGGGAGACCACATCGTCTGTGGGCATCTTCACCCAATTTGCTGCAGATTCCTCTGGCCTCAGCCTTCTTCCCCTATTGAACGCAGAATCCTAGGGGCTGGGGGGGGGGCGCCTTGGAAGTCATCTAGTCCAACCCCCCCGCCAATGGTTTGAAAACCTCCCGGGATGGAACACCCATTAACTCTTGAGAGGCAAAGCTATTCAGGGGTGGGATTCTACCGGTTCAGACTGGTCCTACAGAACCGGTTGTTAGGATGATGTTATGAGATGTGGAGCAGTGGTGGAATTCAACGTTTTTTTTACTACCGGTTCTGTGGGCATGGCTAGGTGGGCATGGCTAGGTGACTGAGTGGGTGTGGCTTTTTTTTTACTGCAGCAGCAAACCCCCCCCCCCACATTTTTTGGGCCTTCTGGGCCTCAGGCAAGCCTCCTGGGGGGGCGTTTTTGCCCCCCTCCCTCCATTTTTTGCCTTCCCGGGCCTCAGGGAAACCTTCTGGACAAAGCAAGTAAGTAAACAAGGGAAATCCCAGCACAGATAATTGTTGGGAGGAGGGGGGGAAAAAGAAGAAATACCTTAAGGAGTGACTGGGCAGGGCGAGCATCGGGCGGGCGGGGCAAGCATGCAACCGGATCGGGGGCGTGGCCAGCCAGAAGTGACTACTGGTTTGGTGACCCCCGCAAAATCCTTGCTACCGGTGCGAACCGGCTGAATGCCACCAGCGATGTGGAGGTTTTGAGGGCGTTCGCAGTATCCTTGCTGGATGTCAGCTGTTACGCGTCAAGCTGCCTTTTGCAATTGACGGGTGGGGATTGTGTCAATGCCGATGATCTAACCACTATGGATTTAATAGAGATGCCCACTCCCGGGGCCTCTGTACCTGACTGCCTTCTTTCTTTCCTGTTGATCCGAAGAAACATACATTTTCACCTCCTCTTTGACACGCTGCAGCTGTGCTTCGGAAATCTAACAAGAAACATCTGGATTTAGACTTCAAACAGCCCTACTTCCTGGCCCGGGGGGGGGGTGGGGGGGGGGGGGGGGTGGGGGGGGGGGGGAGGGGACCTGCTTTCTTTCACCAGCATACCATTTTCATGCAGTTGACCTGGTGATAGTTGCTTTCTTCCTGTAAACACTCCTCCCGAAGGCTCTTCACCTCCTGACGGGAGAGAAGGGACATTTTAGAAGAGGGAAGAGAACTCGACGTCTGGAGCACAAGAGGCAGGTCAGATCATGGTGGAGGTGAAAGGCAGGGAAGCCCCTGGAAGCCCCTTTCCTCAAGATGCTGCTGGACTGAAGGTCCCATCGACCTTGACGGATTCAGTGGAATGAGATTTGGAGACCACGAATAACCAAAAGATGCGAGCTTCTGGCTCCTAAAATATTCTACTCCCATTTTTATCCAAAGAGGGGAAAAAAAAACAAAAAAACCTAAATCAGTAGCTGGGAGATTAAATTGGCCCAAGCATGGATTAAATGTCATTATTTTATCTCACAAGCCACAACTTGGAACAACAGGCTACGATTTGGAAAACAGGATTTCCTCCCAAAATAAATACCTTTTGCTCGACTCCAAACCTAAACGCTTCGTATAAATCCAGGCCCTGTTACGTTTTGGGTGGGTGGGGAAACCTTCCAGGAGAGGCAAGATGGAGAGAAATTCCCCCCCCCTCTCTCCTCCTTGCTTACCTGCTCCAGGGACGAACGCTTGCTTTCCAAACCAGCGGCACAACTGTCGTACTGGGACTTCTTCTCTTCGCATTCTTGGGTTAATTCCTGGGGAGGGAAAAAAAAAAAAGTAGGTGGATACAACAGGTGGTCCTTGGGCAGCCCAACCTCAGCAAAGGGCACCTATCTAAATCCGACAGACCCCGAGCCTCGCTGTGCAGGATAAGCCATCAGTTTGGTAGAATCCCACCCCTGCAGGGGGGCCCGTTCCAGCCTCATCCCTGGAGCGTTGCCTGCACTCACCTGGCACTTCTGTCGCAGCTGCCTGAGGTCTTTGATGATTGGGGCCAAGCTTGACTTTTTATCGGCTACCAAGGTGTTCAGTTTTTTCACCTGTGGGGAAGCGAAAGCGTTGCTGTGAGTGGAGCCTGCTGAATGGGAGCTGGAGTAGACTAGGGTGCCACATGTAGTAAGAAGGCAGTTTGCAGCATCCTGGGTGTAAGGCCGAGGTCTCCAAACTTGGCAACTTTAAGGCATGTGGAATTGAAGTCCACAAGTCTTAAAGTTGCCCAGTTTGGAGACCTCTGGCGTAAGGGATGGCAGAGGGTGGGGTCAGGGTTAGGACAAGCTTTCTCTACCCACCCACCCCCGTGAAGTCTCTGGACAGTACCATGTCAGACATGTTGTCCAAAGTTCGGCCCTTCATGTCGTCCATTTCGCTCTTGACGGCAGACACCCTCTCCAGCTCCTCCTGGGTGTAGCTGTAGCCGGAGATTCCTTTCTTGTCTTCGATGGCTTGCTGGAGGAAGGAGGAGAGAAAAATGAGACTTGCAGGAGGGATCAGGCCCCAGAGGTCCTTCAGAAGCTGCGGGGTTCCAGATCTTATTTATTTAAGAAAATGTACGTGGCCACCCAACTCGGTCTCAGAGACTCCCCACGGGTTACATAGATTAAAAACCCCAACGTAAAAGTTAATAAAAAGCGGTAATTTCTCCCCCAGCCCCAGGATAACCATTAAGAGAATTAAATAGGGCACTTGAGGGGGGGTTATCTCACTCTGGGGTCTCCAGACCCGTTGGCCAAACCAATGGGGCCTTGCGCAAGAGTTTCAAAAGAGGAGGGGGCACCAATCTTATCTCCACGGGGAGGCATTGCAGGGCTGGCTGGGGAACTCTGGGAGTTGAAGTCCACAGGTCTTAAAACCTACCAAGGTGAAGACACCCCTGCTCTAAAAGATAAAGAGCTTTAAACGCCGGACCAACTACAAACCCTAATTCAGGGGTCTTCAAACTTGACAGCTTTTAAGACTTGTGGACTTCAACTCCCAGAATTCCTCCTCCAGTCATGTTAATTCAGGAATTCTGGGAGTTGAAATCCACAAGCCTTAAAACCTGCCAAGTTTGAAGACCCTTGCCCTAACTGATGTCTAAAGGAGAAAATAATCGCAGAAATGGCCGTTTGGATGTGAAACGCCATGGTAACCAGGCTGTATGGAATTAAGTTTCAGTCCAGGACAGAATAACTGGATTCACGCAAGCTGGATCATGGTTTGACTAAGCCATAATTGTTAACTAAGCCATAACTGGCTGGATTTCCACCACGCAAGGACCAACCAAGCCACGAGACATCAACCCAGCTAAAGATTTTGTCGTTCTTCCGTCTCCCCTGCCAGGCCTCCTCAGGATCCTTTCTGGAATTTGAGATGGGCCCTGGGATGTCCTGTTGATGTTGCCATCAACCCCCCCACCCCCCCCCCTCGGGGCAGTCCAGATGGGAGGGACCGTTACCAACTGCTGCTGGATGTCTTCGTGCCGCTGTTTCAGGAGCTCTTCCGTCCGCTGCAGGATGCCGTACTCGGCTGTGATCTCGGCTATCTCCAGGCGCTTCTTCTTGTAAAGGGTATTTTTGCTGCGGAGTTTGTTAACGTACCGCTTGAACTGCAACGAGAAGAGTCACCATCCTTGGTCGGGGGGGGGGGGGGGCAAAGATGCCCAGTCCAGCTCCTATCGTTTTATGACCAAAGTAACCCTTCCCTTTTTCTTTGGAAAGAGAGAGAAATCGAGAAACCATGCTCTCTTGGATGGAAATAGAAAACCCACCTTTAGAAGAACAGCGTTTTAGATAGGTTCATGTCTGGACCAAAAGGTGGTGCAAAAGGAAAATGCAAAAGGAAAATGCAAAATTTCTTTGTTTTAGTTTTACTTTCTTGTCATTGCACCTCATACAACGAAATTAAATACTACCTTCAGTATACAATTTATGACTATGAAAATAACACACACACACCCATCCTTCACGTTCTATACAATTGAATTGAAAACCCCTGATATTGCATCAATATTGCACAATACAGTAGAATCCAATTCCTGCCCTGGGATACAAGCTAATAGGATTTTCAGCCTATTTGTCCTTGTTTTTATCATTGTCCTGTGCCGTCTGCCAGATTTTGATTTTGTTTAAATCCACCCGCATTCAAATCATGAATCTCTGTCAGAGTAAAAAAAAAAAGATTTATGAAGGAGTGACCATGTCAGGGTTACCTGGATGCAGCCAACACTAAAATACACCATTCATTTTCCCCTTGACCTTGCTCTTCCCTTCACCCTCTGGATGTATATATCCTCCAATGGGATACCTCCATAGCCAAGAGTCATCAATCACGCTCTCCATGTGCCGACAGCTTCGGGCTGCCATCTGAGGCATTTAAGGAATGCACTGCTTTCCCCTACTCCCTTTCTGCTGGCAACTAAAAAAACCAAAGAAGTCTTTTTTTAGTTGACATTTAGCTTAGTTTATTTTATTGTCATTGCCCCTCGTGCAATGAAATTAAATGCCATCTTCAGTGTACATAATAACTATAAAAATAAAACACAAACACCCATCCTTCACATTCTATACCATTGAATGGAAAACCCCTGATATTGCATTAATATGGTGCTACACAGTAGAATGCAATAGAGTTCCTGCCCTGGGATAGAAGCTGCTTTTCAGCCTATTTGTCCTTGTTTTTATTACTATCCTGTACTGTCTGCCAGAGAGTAGTAGCTCAAAAAAAAAGAAAAGAAAAGAAAAGAAAAGGGGGTGCCCAGGATGAGATGGATCCTGTTTGGTTTTTCAATGTTGCCTTAAATCGCCTTGAATTTATTCAAAAAGAAAACAGAGTTGGGGTGCACAGAGCCCTCCCAAGTGTAAAACATACCATCCCATTTGAAGAACAAATTCTTACAGTCCGAGATGAACCCACTGTGAAAGCCTCTCCCCCCCCCCCCCCCCCGGCTGATAACTGTATGCGCTATAAAAAGTCTCCCGGGCAAAGAGCCCATCTTAAAATCACACCAGTTCATCGGCCGTCTCTTGCCAAGGTCTCCTCCACTTCCCTGGGCTCTGGCAACTATTTTTAAACCCCAAAGCTGTAAAACTTTTCAGCCAGACAGCAAAGACAGATTTTATCCGTCTCGGGTTTTAAAAAAGGACCGAGGTCCTGACTGCTCGAAGTGCCTTCGCTGCACACCTAGGCCGGGGAAGGGCACGGCTTGACAAAGCCACGGGAGGAAGGAAAATCGTGCTGGTTCGGGTTTCAGTTGGGGAAATGCTGGGGGACACTGTGCCTGTTTCAGGGGAGCCCAAGCAGGTTGAGTCTCAAAAAGATATATATATTTTGTTTATGCAATACCTTTTGGAAGGGGAAAAGTCTCTGTTGGCTTGTGGAGATTTGCAAGGGTTGATAGCCTTCCACAGAAGAAACCTGCCAACCCACAAATCCCTTTAAAAAGCAACCCGAACCAAAACTTCCGTCCCAGTTTTCCAAAACCTCTGGCACCTCTGGTCGCCTGTGGGAGCTTCCAGTTCATTACAGGGGGCTATCATGCAAACAACTGTTTCCCAATCTGCTCGACAATTCAGCCTAATAGAAAAGCCTGGGAAAATACTGGGGGGAAATACCAGAGTAGTTAGGTAGCTGCTGCTGCTGCATGGAGCAGAAAAATGGAAATACACCAAGCTTTCAGCCATGAGCCTAAACCGCTGTTCTTTTGCTTGGTTGGGATGCCAATTCACTCCTACAGTAATCATCCGTTTAACTTCCCAAATAATCCTTGCCTCCCTTTAACTTCCCAAATCCTGCTGAACAGACTCTGTGGAGATTTTTCAGCAGGAGTTCTGTAGCAAAAAACACAGAAGAAATAGAATGGGGAGAAGGAAAATTAAGAAATTTATCCTGGATTTGGGGTGAGATAGGCAACATTGAAAAGGAGTCTCTCTTGTACGTTGGTTTGGGCACACCTGGCCAAGGTGCATAAAACCAGGATTCCATCCGTCGCTGTCATGGAGCTATATAAAGCATTCTCGCTGGTCGAAAGAGGTAAATAAAACCAGAGAATTAACACTTTTCCCTCCTTCCCCCTCTCCAGCCCCAGAAGAGAAAGAGAGGAGTAAAAAAAAACCAACAACAACAAACCAAGAAAACAAAAGTTTAAACTCCCAACCGCCATCTCAATGAAATGAAAAGAGAAGCTCCTTCATTATCTCGGCGGGAAGCCCTCAAATAAAGTTTGCAGAAGCCGCTGCCTGGAAACAGTGGGGCTGTTTTACTACCCATCCAATTAATGTAATAAGGGCTCAGGCAGGCAGTTAAGAGAATTTAGTCTGAGCAAATGCCTGGCTGTGACAAGCTCTGGGCCAAGAGCCCTCCCGGAACGAGGCTCGGGTGGCTCAAGGGGAATGTCCCTTTGGGGGTCCTTTCCATTCTCGGGGACAGGGGATGAGCCCCCTCAATGTCTACCAGAGAGGGGGAAAGAGAAAAAGCACCCCCATACCCATGTGCCTGATTCCAAGCCCCTTCGGCAAAGGTGAACTCTGATAGGAGAAAAATGGGATGCGCTCTTTAGATGGGGCCAGGCGGGCAATGCTTAACAATAATTGCCACCGTTGGCTCATTCTGCCTTTTGCTGGCACGGAGTTTGCCTGATTTTAAAGACTTCGCTCTCAATTTAGCTGGGGGGGTCTTCTTGGAGAGTTCTGAACCAACAGAAACATCTGGGAAAATATTTGGCTTTGGAACGCTTGAGTTTTCAACTAGAAGGCCAGGTGGGCCTGAAATAAAAAAAAAGATCTTCTTTTTACAAAATATGGCACCGAGCTGGCATCCCATTGTGGTGGCAGAACATGCTCAGGTGGCTTGCAATGCTGATCCTCCTTCCGTTTTTAGTGACCCAGAGGTCTCTTCTGCACATTTTCCCTCCTCCCTAACTTTTGGCTAGCAAGATACCAAAGGAAGGACGAAAGCAAAGGCTGAAGGTCCACTCCTGCCTGCCATGTCTCGGGCTCTTTTGACCTGAATTGGCTGGTCCGTTCTTCTATCCTTCACAAGGAGGGCCAATCACCAGGAGGCCGTGAGTTCTAGTCCCACCATAGGCATGAAAGCTGGCTGGGTGATTCTGGGCTAGCCCCTCCCTCTCAGCCCAATCGACCTGACAGAATTGTTGTGGGAAAATAGAAGGAAGGAAGGGAGTATTACGTATGTTCACCACCTTGAGTTACTTACAAAGGTGGGATAAAGATCTGTTACATAAATGGTCAGCCGACTGTCACAAGAAAAATAACCAGCCTACCTGGAATCCTACCTCCCTGGAACTGGGGTTCAACTGCAAAGAGTACAATGTACCGTGAAAGGCAGCTAAAATTATCCCTGGTTTACCTAACCTCGCTCGTAACTGAACCATCTCCCCTTCTCTCTCGTGCAGTCATGCAATTCCTAAATTTTTATGGTTCGATAGCTGCAGGAAGAAGCTTGCCAGCCTGGCCTGGATTTTTCTAACGATGTCATCCCTTCTGCAAGAGGCCTCTTTAAGCCCTTGAATATCTTCTTCCCCAATTTCCCCCTTAAAAATATATATATAAAAAACCCCCACTATTAAATAAATCCACCCACTATTTTCCTCCCTTGGCACAAAGGCCTGGGCTTTCCTGGCCTTGGAAAGCAATAGGGGGAAAACCATAAGCCTGAGGTGACCTTTCTGGGGAGGAGGTGTTAAGACCTCAGCCGAGGATAAAATGGATGGCACGCAGGAGAAGTCCAGGCAGAAAAGGCCTTGAATCATCCGAGAACCAAACTTAGTGAGAGCCAGGCCATAAGGGGATACCAGTAACTCAAACCCCTGGGGGGGAGAGGGGGGATATGCAGGCTGGAAGCGACTGAAGGTCTCATCGCAAATCATTAAGGGCGCTAACTTCGTGTCTAAAGTATTAAACAACATGATAGAGCACTGCACACCAGAACAACTAGACACAAGGACAGTTTTTCCCCCCGCATGCCATCCCTCGGCTAAACAACTAATTCCCACAACACTGTCAAACTGTATCACTATTCTTCTTCTCATCCTTCCTATTACCTATTTCCTCCCACTTATGGCTATAACTTTGGTGCTTGTATCTTTATGTTTATGTATATGTTGCTTTATTTAGTTCCTTTGTATAATTGGATTGCTTATTTAGCATCCTACGCCTCAGTGTTGTGTCTTATGATTCTTGATGAATGCTTTTTTTATGTACACTGAGAGCTTCTGCACCGAAGACCAATTCCTTGTGTGTCCAATCACACTTCTATCACAAGAATTCTCCAATCACAAGAATTCTATTAAAGCCAGGCCCAGATTTGGCACTTCTTCTGCGATCTAACAAGGATGGCATTTCTCAAAGCAAGAGGGTCTTTAGGCTGGCATTTTCCAGCTTTCTCACAGCTGGCAAAGAATCCTAGGGAAGTCCCGAAGCCGCCAAGGGGACATTCACATCCTGACTTTAAGACCTGGGTTAAGCTCTTCTGATTAGCATCCTTGATTCCTTGAAAAGATGTTGCTCCTCCTCCAGCTCGGAGTTGTTAAGGTTAAGAATACTTGGAGGTTGGAATTAAATTGTGCTGAATCAAAAACCAGGGACAAATTCAACCATGAGGTTCTTTGCTCTCAAACACCTTCGCTCAGGGTCAGGAGATTAAAAACCACCCACTAGATGGAAAGACAGAGCAGGAGGATGACTTAAATATACTATAGGATCAAGTCTAGATCATAAGTCATGATAAGATCAAGTCTGAAATAGATGGGGTTATTCAGACATTAGTGATTCTCGTATGCAGCCCTGTTCTTTGATGGGACTCCAATCGAAAAAGTGGAGAAGACACGCAGCTCAGATGCCTTCAGAAGAGGCCACGACTGAGAATCGATAGCTGTTGTGTGAACTGAACCTGCAAAGTTGTTCATGCAGGTCTACCGGTCTTCCTCTTTTCTTCATTCCATACAGCAATCCAGCCCTAAACCCGACAACTAATTGTCCCTTTTCATTCGGTGTGTGTGTGTAATTTATCTTCACATTTAGCTACTCAACTGATGGTTCCCATCAGATGTGTTGACAACGTGAAATTATTTCGTGAGGTGCTTAAAAACCTCGTGGACATGCAACAGGTAAGATCTTTGGCCTCTGCGATAGGACATGCTGCTGTTGTGTAGAATAACCATTGCTGGCACCAGGGTCACAAAGCAGATTTGTTTTGGTTTGCTCAAAACAAATCTGCTACTTAAAAAAAGGGAACCACCGAGACCAGGTTTCTGGAATAAAACCCTCAACTCATAATTCTTCCAGATAACAAGGGAAGCCATCTTGGGGACCCCAACCTAGTTCTGCATGCAAAATGGCCGCTTCCTTACCTCATCGCCTTTCAGGACTTCTGTCCCATCCAGCTCCCGAGCCTGGCTCGACTTCTGGATCATTTGTCTTTCCAAGGTGATGATCTCTTCCTTGGCGGTCTGAAGTTCCTCTGCCTTGGCGTTTTTTTTCCGCGAGATGATGGAAGCCTGTGAGGATTCTCAGACTGGTTAGTATTAGGGTGTCGAAGAGGATGATGCCAGGAAAAGGGCTGGCATGCCAACCTCAGTAGCTTTAGGTGGCGGGGCGAATTCTGGGAGTTGACCCATGCTGGGTAGGGAACTTTGGGAATTGAAGTCCACACCTCTTAAATGTTACCTTTTGCAAGTTATCATTTAAATCAGGGATGGCAACTTTTAAGACTTGTGGGTTTCATTTGGTTTTGGTCTTGTTGGATTATAAAAGCCCAAGGAGGCCAGTTTTCTACAGAGCCTACTGATATGTAACATCTAACAGAAGAACATATAATGTTCAAGGCAGAACTACATATCACAACTAAAATATCACAGAAGGACAAACTTCTTCAAAGGAAGCCAAGCCTGGTGTTTTTAGTAATTTAAAGGCAGACTTTGCCACTTTAGTCATTCAAAAGGCAGACTTTGCCATATGTACAGGTAATTTTGAAGGTAACTTCCAACATCTGGCTGAAATCATTCAATCTGGGTGTTATCCAAGCACTTTGCTCCTCACACCTGGGCCCATGGTGACAAATGGGGCTAAAAACACAACAGGGGCAGTGAAGCCGAGGAAAGGGCTCCCGGGGAGCTGGGCAGAAGCGGCCAACTGTTTTTGACGAAGTGAGGAGTTCTGAATTCCTGGCATGGGCTCCTCCGAGGGATGTCAGCACTTTATACGAAAAGCCAACTGGTCTCTTGTACCGGCACATTATGTAGCATACTTAGCCTTGTAATACAAGGCTCACAACAACAAAAGGCCCGGGATCACATTCGCTACCCAAAATTGTATCTGGTTCCACCTATTAAATTAGGGTTGGCTAACAGTCCTGGAATTGTCAGATGCCCCCAAACACAATTAGCACCCTATCAAGAAATCTGTAATGCTTCAAGTCCCAGGGGCTGGGATTTCGGTGCATAATACAGGTAGTCCTTGACTGACGATACGTCCGTTTAGTGACCGAAGTTACGACGGCACTGGAAAAAAAGGGACTTAGGACGGCTTTTCACACTTAATGACCATTGCAGCCTCCCTACGGTCACGTGATCGAAATTCAGAAGTCTTTTGTGACCTTCTGATGAGCAAAGTCAATGGGAAAGATTCACTTAATGGCCGAGTTACTAACTCAGAGGTCTCCAAACAAGGCAACTTTAAGACTTGTGGACTTCAACTCCCAGAATTCCTCCTCCAGTCATGTTAATTCAGGAATTCTGGGAGTTGAAATCCACAAGCCTTAAAACCTGCCAAGTTTGAAGACCCTTGCCCTAACTGATGTCTAAAGGAGAAAATAATCGCAGAAATGGCCGTTTGGATGTGAAATGCCATGGTAACCAGGCTGTATGGAATTAAGTTTCAGTCCAGGACAGAATAACTGGATTCACGCAAGCTGGACCATGGTTTCACCAAGCCATAATTGTTAACTAAGCCATAACTGGCTGGATTTCCACCGTGCAAGGACCAACCAAGCCATGTTACGTCAACCCAGCTAACGATTTTATCAGATTCACTTAACGGCCGAGTTACTAACTCAGAGGCCTCCAAACTTGGCAACTTTAAGACTTGTGGGCTTCAACTCCCAGAATTCTGGGAGTTAAAGTCCACAAGTCTTAAAGTTGCCAAGTTTGAGGACCCCAGAACAACTGGGGTCACTTACCAACCAATGGCAGGATAAGTTGCAAAATGGGGTTAAAACTCATTTAACAAACATCTCACTTAGCAACAGTCAATTTTTTGGCGTCGTAAACCGAGGACTTCCCTGTATTGAATTTCTCCTCGCGCTTGTCCTGCCGAGAATGTCTTCTCACCTGTTGCCGGTACATTGAAAATTTGCTATCGACGGGTTCATACTTCATCATCCTCTTCTCGATTAATTGGTTGATCTGGGCATTGACCTCCTTTATCTGTAACGACAGAACATTTGAGGAGGAGGAGGTTCTTCTCGCAGCCCAGGGTTAGAAAAGCAAACCAGGTTTGCGGAGAGAGGCCAGTTCCAGATATAGGCCAGCTTCTCAAGAATGGATTCAGATGAAAGACGGTTTCTGGAATTTTGAGCGAACTTCTGCAATGACGCTGGGAGGGGGGGGAGTTTTAAAAATAGCAAATGGAGACAGCTTGTTTTCACTTTGTGTGCTTTTCAGCACCTGAGGCCTTCGTCAGTGAGCAAGCAATTCCAGCCAAACTTCCAGAGCTGGGAGGGGATGTTAGGTTACGGAGTCCAGTGACTTGCTCAAGTCAGGAGTCCCCGTTACAATCCCATAACAGGTGCGGTTCAGCCTCTGAATTGCCCATATTCGGCAAACGGGCAGGGACTCCGTTGCTTAAACTTGGCTCTATTCTATCAAAAACCAGTTAATAAGGAGTCTTGTTAAAAAGCGAATGGAGAGAGAGAAACCACGACTGGTTATTTATGATGCCCAAACTAGAGGTTGGGAAAACACACACGAAGAGGCGGCTGCAGTGGGACAGCGCAAACCCAAACGACAGCTAAACGAGGGAGATTGGGTTCAAGGCCATCCTGCCTGCTGTGATTTATCTTCTGGGATAAAGACACACCTCAGAGCCTCCTCTTTCATTCCTGCTTGTTGGAATGACACTGTGTAAATCAAAGGCATTTTACTGGACAGGAAACCGAGACAACAACCGCACCTGTAAATCTCAATTTAAAGCCCTTTCTCTGCCAATCGCTGGATTTCGCTCCGCCTCACTGCCCTGCTTCCCAGCCGGTTAGAGCCACGAAGAGAGATGTTCACCGATACCTGATTCTTTGCTCCTCACTTAAGGCTGATCTCTTTTCGCTAAAAATAAGCAGCCTGGCTGCACGTTAACTACCAAAGCTTCTTTGGGGCTTCTGCTAATAAGGCAAATGGATATTGATTCATGAATTTATTACCCAGAGGGAGGAAATTGACTTTGCAATCTTCTGGCAGTTTCATGAATGAGGGCGCAGCTCCTGAATGTTGGACGTTGGTCTCCAGGGAGGACAACGTTATCCTGAAGTGACCCCCTGCCATCTATTTCAAGGCATGTGGACAATGCCTAGGCAGCTGCAACAGAGGGTGAATGTTAAGCCCTCTTCGGCTAACCTGGTGCCTTATGAAGGGAGTCGATTACAGCTCCCATGCTTCCCAGCCAGCCTTGAATGACTCCAAATATATCCACTCTTACGCACCCCTCTTACTGGCAGGCTTCCCAAGGCCATCTGGCCAGAGGTGCCCCCCTGAAAAAGAAGAATAGCAACTCTCCTCTATAGAAGGAATGGCCTTTAGTCAAGGGAAGAGGAAGGATTATTATTATTATTGTACAGTTCTTGGTGTTCTCTGCGATTGGTGGTTTTCTTGCAGAAGTTTCATGACCCAACTAGGTAACATCATCAGGGCTAAAAGGGAGGGGAGTTGGTGGAGTGGAGGGGGAGGATTGTGGGATCCTTGGTGCTCTCTGACCCTGGTTAGTTAGTTAGTTAGTTAGTTAGTTTACTTTATTGTCAGTGCACCTCGTACAACGAAATCAAACACCATCTTCGGTGTACATTATAACTATAAAAATAAAACACAAACACCCATCCTTCACATTCTATACATTGAATTTAAAACCCGATATTGCATTCATATTGCATTATACAGGAGAATTCAGTATAGTTCCTATCCTGGGATAGAAGCTGTTTTTCAGCCTATTTGTCCGTGTTTTTATTATTATCCTGTACCGCCTGCCAGATGGTAATAGTTAAAAAAAAGGGGGGTGCCCAGGATGAGATGGATCTTTGAGGATGTTTTGAACTTTCTTAAGGCAGCAGGAGCTATAAAGCTCTTCCAAAGAGGGGAGAGGGCAACCAATGATCTTCTGGGCAATGACGTTCACCCTCTGGAGTGTTGTCCTATTGGCCATGGTGCAATTGGCAAACCATACAGCTTGTTTTCTTGCAGACGTTTTGTGACCCAACTAGGCAACCTCATCAGGGCTATTTATTTCCCTGCCCACCTACTTTGGTTTCCAACTCGTTGAGATCCGACTGGCCCATGGCTGGCTCGGCCACCACTTTCTGCAGGAGAAGCAAGGACTGTTTCTTCGTTTCCAGCTCTCTGGGAAATTTCTCGGAGACCAAATAAGTGTTGAACTTGGTCTCTTCTTCTAGACTCTTCATTAAGCCTGAACAACAAAGCAGAACAAAACCCTCACATCTGCATGTGTCTAAACAAAGGGAGGAGAAGGGCCATTTAGCGTCAGGCTGTAATAACTGTAATTTAGACCCAGCTAATTTAGCAGCAGATTGCGTTAATTTCTGTGGGAACCAATAAGGAAGGAGGCCCCCAGGTTTCAATTGGCAGAGATAAATATACAACATGCTAGCAGATAAAAAGTAAGCTGGAGGAATCCTAAAAGCGCATAGATTTTTGTAGGAAGAGTTGTCGTTTTTCCCCCCTCATTTTCTGAACAGGGATAGAAAATGGAGGAAACATTTTCAGCCTAAACCAATGTTTCTCAACCTTGGCAACTGGAATAAAGTTGGAGAATTCGGGGAGTTGAAATTCACACCAGACGAGCTATTTTTTGGACAAAATAAGAACTTGTCTATTTTGTGGGGTTTGAATAGGCCACAGGAACCCAAAGCAGAGTCCCTAAGCGTGGGAACATCGCAACCTGCAAAAATAGGAGAGATACGGGGGCTTCCATTCTATGGCACCCACAGCCTTTTTCTACTTCAAGTTTACTCGGCTTTGGTAGCTTCGGGAGACACGGCTTACGATTAGAACACAGCACGTCATCGTGGCTTGTTAAGGAACGGATTGCGCCAACCGGAATTATGTTACAGGTTTTTAGTCCTGTTTTTCTGGGGTCGGTTTGATATTTCATGGATGCTCGTTTCTCCTCCCATAAGCCAAGACCACAAACTATCCATTTCTTTGCTTCAGAAAGCAGGTTAGCTTCTCTCCGTCGATTGCGGTGTCTACGACTGGTCCTGAGTCACCCAATGAATCCTGTCACTGATCCCAAATGCACACAGGGAGGGTCTCCTTTGAAAACTGCCCACTTCAGACTGTCAGATTAGCCCCCCCCCCCCCCC